CTTTTCTGGAGCTTGAGAATGTATTTTCTTGTTAATTTAAAAGAACAAATCATCTTTATGATGTGCATGTGCAGTTACATGCTCATGCACATCTTTCTCCTAATAGAGAAATTCTTCATTTATTCCTATTAGTCAATCTGATTTCCTCCTCAAGAGCATTCACAACTTTTTAATTCAGTGATCAATTCTCTGACCTCCATATTTTTCTCTCTATGTGTATATCTCTAAGTTTGTGTTCAGTGGCACTGATCTGACTTCCTAAAGTCTAAGTTTCTTTTTTGTTTTTTCCAATATAGATTTTAATTTCACTCTTAATTATTTAGTTTCTTTGCAATTCTTACTTCTCCATCTTTCTTTTTAATCAAGAATTTAGCTTGATCTCTCCCTTTAGCTTTTAGCTCTTGTCTTACAGGGCCAATGTCTTTTGACATTTGAGGATGCCAAAATGTTTTCCCAAATCTTATTTTGGTTCATATAGTAAATCATGTTCATGAGCTAAATGGTAGGAATAATGTTTCTGTAGCATATTCTCACAGGCCCTGTTTTTTTTTAACTGTTGTTTGTTTCTCCTGTTTACTCATTCTTGAATATAGAGAAATATTTCCAGATATTTTGCCATCAAATGTAGTGAATTGTGTTTGATTTTACTTTTTGCCAGCTTACATGCTGGTTGAATGTCAACACTTAATCCAATTCCTAGGTATTAACAGACTTTCAGATAGTGTTCTTTAGAAGGTCTAAGGTACGATTTCTTCTACCCACTACTTTTTAGCTGTCTGATACTCTGATAAGATGATTTAAGTAAAAAAATGTAGGTCTTAGAAAATGCTTCTTCTTATCAAAGGCACAATTTAGCAAATTTTAAACAGTCATTTTTGGATATTTCATCTGCTTGCTGGACCAATCAGATTTCTTATGTAATTAAAAATTACACTACCTGGTACTTTAAGTGTTCTTGTTAAAAGGTACGAATATTAGAGGTCTTAGAATGTAAAGAATATAGTAGAAATAGAAAAAATAAGGCACAATAAGCTTTATGGAAGATTGGAATTATGGATAGAAAGTACAAGAACATACGTTTTGGGTATGATATGGAGGTTCTAAAAAAACTTGTCATGTAACTATATTTTACATGCTTCATCTTTACTACTAGATCATCTTTACTACTTGATTTTATATACATATATGTGTGTATATATATTTTAATGTTATGTATATTTTATATATATTATATATACTTTATAATATATTATTTTATATATGTTATATATATATACTTTATAATATATATATTTTATTCTGTATGAGGTGTTTAATAAGTGTTGTTGAACAAATGCTCTGGGAAGGTATAAAACCACAGGCAGTTCCCTTACTTGTAATATGAAGTTGAATGTTAAAAACTGAAAATCAGATTCAGGAGTTTTAGGTCTGAAGATTCTAGATTCAGCTTTCCTAGCCGACTAAGGTGGACTCGGCCTAACAGTGTCATATGAGGCTGGGTATAAACTTGAAGACATGAATGGATTCTGTGGCTAAATAATGATTTAACTACATATAATGATTAAGAAAAGGAAAAGACACACACTAGGTGCTGCAAATACTTATCTCATTTAAGAAACCTGAAAGCCTGAGAAAGCACAAAGTCCAGTCTTACCTAAAAAATTAACAAAAAATTTTAAGAGGTTCTTTTTTTTTTTTTTTGTAGAAAATAGATTACTAGGGTTTAAAACGCAGGCAAAGACTTTATTTTAAGATTCCTTTGTTCATTTTCCCAAACCCTAATTTTAACTCTTGTCCCATTAATCCATAGAGAGATTGATCCATTGGTTTTTGTTGCAAGTGGTAACCAATGGGGCAGAAAGGGTCAAAGAAAAGTAGAATTCCATATGAATCCCAAAGAGAAGAGCAGGCTTGTTTCTAGAAGAAAACAAAAAAGTAAAAGAAAGGAGTGGAGCTGAAGGATGAGGTTAAAGTCTCATCTTGAAGTCTACCTGTTAACACTTCACTGCTACATCATTAAGATGAATAAGTGGTTTAGGGTTCCAGACTTTATTTCCCTTTAAATTCAAATGTCTTTCCAAGACCTCCTGCACTTTGTATTATAATCTCCAGATACTTGGCAATAACTTACAGCTACCATAACCTCTTTCATATATATATGTATATATTTTGGTGGTAACTTATGGAGAAAATAGAAAAGGAGGAGCAGTTACTTTAGAGGTGACATTAAATATGTCAAGAGATGAAATAATGAAAAAAATTAAGCAACTCATTAGAATCTGTACTCTTGAAGAATATATTTTCAAATGAGAGAAAGACAGTATTTTTTGTTTCTGTGTTATCATTAAGATATCTTTTATGTAGTTGAAACTGTGGTTGAATTAGCAGTTCCTGTAATGTAATAGGAACTTACAAATACTTTATGTATCTGAATAGCAAAGAAATGTCTTACATATCTTTATTATTTTGAATGTCACATTTTATGCCTGCCTGCATTCCCTTCTGCCTTTCTACATATCTTGCTTTTGATTTTATTTAAGAATATTTATTCATCTCCTCTTTGTGCAAAAATGCCATGTAGTCCTATAAAAAGCTAAGTAAAATATATGACTATATTACAGGCACTTTCCTGTAGGAAGATAAGGCATGTAAAACATAGAATACTGATGAAGTAAGGCTGCAGAAACTTCAGGCATCTGAGGAGATCCACCAGTTAGGTTCATCAAGGAAGGCTTTGTAGTGGAAATAGCTGACCTAGTTCTTCCATCAGATACATTAATTTCTGCTTTTCACTCATTCATTAAAACTACATTTGAGGCCTATTAATACTCCAAGCATGCTTATAGACACTAAGAGTTCAGTGGTAAATAGTACAACTCTAGTCTGTGCTTTCATAGATGTTAACAGCTAGTGAAGAAAATGTATAATTAAAAAGATCACACAACTACATAATTGTTATAAATGCTCTGAAGAATACCTAGAAGAGGCTGTGACATCATATAGTAAGAGACCTAATTTAGAGATTGCAGGGAATGCTTTATTGAGGAAGGGACATTAAATGGATAGGAATTAGCTACATGAGGGCTATAGTTATATGAGACAAGAAGGAAGGATTTTTGGCATAGCTGGGACAGCATGTATGAAGGTCCCAAGGCTGTTAGGATTTTGATACTTTTGAGGAATGGGAGGTAGGCCTTTGTGGAAGAAATGGAGATCAAGGGAGGGAGGTATATAAGAAGAAGATGGAAAGGTGGAAAAGGGCCTGTCTATGTTGGCCTTGAGAAACTTGAATCTCATCAGTCAAGTTACCAAAGGATTTAACCAAAAGTAGCTACTGTTGAGGGGCAAATAGCATAGAGTGTGAATGTCAGATAGCCGGTTGCAAGGCTATCTCAGGAGTTCAGATTGGAGATAGTAGTACCATGGGTTGTGTATAGTTTTGGTACACTGGAGATAAAAAGTGAGTGATTCAAGATGTGTTTTGGAGGAAAAACAGACACTACTTGTTGGTTCATTGGAGAGCAAGTGTCAAAAGGGTGCTAAGATATCTTGCACAAACAATGTAGATCATGAGGCCCTTTACTGAAATGAGAAACACTATGCAGTTTAAGATCATGAACTCAGATCTGAGACATTTTCACATAACAAAAGCCATGAGACATCCAAGTGGAAATCTTGGATGGACAATTAAAATAGACACATGTGCTAGTATACCACTCCAAAGAGAGCTCAGCACTGAGGATGGATTTGTGGGAGTTGGGCATAGGAATACATTTTAAACCATTTGAGTCTTAAGAATGGATGTTATTTGGACCAGCAAAATGATATTTTTCTTAGGATAACTTTTACCATGTGGTTTCAAAATACATATGCCATTCTTCTGCCTGATTTTAGTATACCCAGGGACAAATATTTTCCCCTCTTGAGTAATATTTCTCCACCATGATACTATAAATCAAAGGTAGAATAAAATTGCATTAATTATTCTTACTTTTCAAACAGTTGCTGGTACTTAGCTGTTCTTGAATAGATAATTTTTGCTTTTTAATTTTATATCATGGATTCTACTGCCCTCACTCCATGCACCCAGAGAAGGTAATTTATTGGAATAGTTAATTGGCTAGGTAATTTCTTCTGTCAGGCAGTTTTGAAATAACATGTTTTCTCCTCAGGAAATTAGGTTAAAGGTAGAAATCTTTAAAAAATTAACCAGCATTACAATTATCATCTAATTTATTGCTTTAAAAAGTCCTATTTTTGTGTCCCTAATAGTTCATTTAATCACATTTTTATAAACTCTTTCCCATCATAGAGTCCAACTGAAATATGAACTCAATGTGTAATAATTTAAAAGCAGATTTTATTTATTAAGTATCTATGAAATCTCTACTAAAGGTATTTCAGTTGGACTTTACTCATTGTTTGAAATGTCCTACAATATCATAAGATGTATAATACCCATATTCCTTACAGATGAGCATGAATTATGAGACGAGCACAGTAAGCAAAGAGAAACTGCACAACTTTGAAGGAATCGCTGAACAGAATAGGCAAACCATTGAAAAGTCTTCCAGTTTATCACAGGGATGTAGCTCTGATGTAAAGTGAGACTAGAATTACTCATGAAATACATTCACGATTTAAAGAGTCAGCTCATTTTGTGGCTTCAGTGATACAATTTAAACCTTGACTGAATTGTATTATCTATCTAAAAATATTTCATTGTGATTTAAGATATGGGTAAAATTAGTCTTTTTTTAAATTAAAGTCTAAGATCACCCTCTCCATCACTTTACAGATTTACTAAGCTAGGGTCTGAGTACTGATTAATCCATAGGCTGACTTNATAGCTCTTATGTGCTCTTGGAAATTTGCCAATGTGCATTATTTCTCTATTTGTAAATTTACTTTTAAAAGATGCCTTTTTTGGAATCATCTATTAATATTGTCATCTAACTTGTATCATTACCCTATCTTAATGCTGTTCCTTTGTCCTGAAGGAATTGCCTATGACCCTCTGATGCTGAAACACCAGTGCATCTGTGGCAGTTCCACCACCCACCCTGAGCATGCTGGACGAATACAGAGCATCTGGTCACGGCTGCAAGAAACTGGGCTGCTAAGTAAATGTGAGGTAATCCAGAATTGGCCACACTCTTTTACTTACTTAAATAAATCATGTAAAGAGGCCCTTATTCATTTGGGTAGTAGGAGAAAAATGTTAACCCTGTGGCATAAACACCGTGATAAATGAACCATCATAGACACTAGTAGCACAGAACTTACTGACCTGACTCCAGGCTGGGCACACAGTAGGTACTCAGTCAGTGTTGGTGGACTGAGCAGCTGCCTGATGTGTGTGTGCTATTATTGCAGGCTGTTTCTTGGTATACCCATTAGCATTCTTGTTTCCAAATAGGTGTCATTTATTAAATTAATTTTATGAGAAACTCTTTGCAAATTGGTAAGTGCTAAATAGTTTTTTATTATTATAAGGTATATTTTGAACTCAAATATAGGCCAGTTTTGCTGCATAGAAATGAATAGATTTAAAGTATTAACTGTCCTTTTACCAAGAAAAGACTCTTCTTTTTATTGAGGTTGTCAATGTTTTTATATTTTTATGGTACAGGTTTGAATATTTTTATCAGTATTTCTTTAAACTCACTTCTGTAGACTGAGTCCCATTTTTAATTTAGGAAAATCTACTCTTCTAGGCTTTCAAAGGTTAAAAGTAAAAATGATATCCATTCAAAAAGATTCCCATTGTCAGATTTGCAAAATAATAACCAACAGTTGTTTGCTTTTCTTGCTGTAAATGTCCATTGTTGCCTAAGATCCAATAACATTCTATATCTGACTATAAATCATTTTTAAAAGAAAAATATCTTCTGTGGATCTTTTCATATTACTTTAACATTTATTGGTCAAAAAATATTTTTTCCTGGGTCTGTATTACGTTCCAGACATGTATTACGTTCTAGGGATTAGAATTGTAGAATTTCACAATACAAAAAAACAGGGGTTCTTATAGACACAATTTATCATGTTGCTGTTTGGTTCTGTTGTCCATCTTGAGTGAAGGAAATCCAATATAGTTCTCACAAGTTTGGGGAGAAATTAAATGGGTAATATTTTGATAACAGTTATGCCATGAGGAAGCTGATCCATTGAGACCATACTAAGTTCTCTATGCTTTGATAACACAAAGAAGCAATCTTTGGGGATAACTTTGGAAGTAATTAATTTTTGGCAACCCGTAAGTAGTCAAAAAAATTCCTATTCAAAGCCAAGGTTGTTTAAAGCGAATCTGTAAAATAATTCAATTGAAATAGAAGTGCCAAAACAGACAGAATGTTTCTTAGTCATCTGTGCTTGCCTGTATTTGATAATATAGTGTGAGTTACATCAGTCTGATCCTTCTTCTCTGCATAGTAGCAAAAATAATTTGAAGATGCAAAGTCATTCATTTCCTGTGTTTATTTTTGTGGATAAATTATTTTCTTCATTGATTTTCTCTTTTGAAGACAATATATCTCATTTTATGGGGGAAATAATGGTTATTATCTTTATATCAAAGTACAGATAATGTTTATGGGTCATTCAGCTGCTGGGATTGTGAGTGAATACACCAGAGCAGTGGGCACAGATTTAATGTCATAACTTTTTTATATGGTTTTAATAGAATTATCAAATGTTTTTTATATTTAAAGTTTAGCTTTTGCTTAAATGTATCTTTTCCCTAGAAACCCCAAAGGGAAGGAATTTGAGTTAGATTTATTTCTCTGGTTCTTTCCTGAATTAAAGTCTATTTTTCACCTTCTTGCTAGTAGCATCCATATTCTGTGGCACAGGCTTCCATACTCTGGTACATTTTAGAGTTATCTTTAAGGTTTTCATGTTTTTGATAGTGCAGCTTGGAGGCCAAACCACTCTGTTGTCTTCCCAGTCCCATATGGAATATGTAAAATAAACCAGAAAGGAGTCTTACTTGTGTTGAACTGGTCTTAATGGACATTTATTCATGAGAACATTGCTGTCTCACCTTGGCATCTATCACATATATATGTTTCCCAGCTTGACAGTCTTCCTGTCCTTTTGTCAGCTGAGACATAGCTATTTACATTCTTTTACTTTTAGGTCTTTGTTATATACTGGAACCTTATCCCAATCACTCCAAATTTGTAGTTGTTGATCTCAGCCTTCAGATGCATTATTAGATTGTGGTATTCCTTAGATCTATTACCTGAGGGAACACTGTGAAAGGAGCAAAGTGCAGAAATAAATGGAATGTAGTATGGTTCACACTAGTCTTAAAATTTAAGTCTGTTATCTTTTTCTGATTAGTCTTCTTTTTCAGTTCCTCATAAATCACATTATTTTAGCCCTGTATTATTTGAAACCATAAAATACAGTTTATACAATAATGCCAGCCGATGTGACATCAGACCTAACGTGAAATGTCAGAAGCACTGTGGGGTCAATGGGAATTAGTCCAGCCCACGCTTAGTCAGCTAAATAAGAGTCTGTCTGGAAACAGTCACACAGGTAACAAATAGTACACTTGAAAGCTCAGATCAGCACATTTGCTCTTAATGAAGACTGAGCACGAAAGTCTGATCCAAAACTTTGCAATAATGCAAATCAAACTCTCTTTCTCCTTACATAATTTGAGAGCACTTCACCAGGTGTTTGTTCTCTTAAGCGATAAAATTGTTGCCCACATGTATTTGTTTGTTCCTATGTTATCAAAGTATCTATGACTTTATGCTGATCTAATCATGGAATTTAATTTCTACAACCATTAAAAACAATTAACTTTATGAGACCAAGGAATTTAATGTTCTTTTTTCTGTGTGTGAATGATTTTACGAATATTCAAAGTGGAGTTTTAGAGATGATCATTAACTAAACAAATGTTATCCTTTTCTAGAGACACTCAGGTCTATATAAGATAACACATAGTACTGAAAGGGATAAAACATGGAACCAAAAGAAACATGACTATTCTCTTTTGCTAATATCTATCTGGAGAGTAGTGGGGAGGGAACATACAGTATTTATTCCAAACCGGTTTAGCCATCTGAAAAATAGGAGAATCTATTTCTTTAGCTGGTACTCTACTAATAAACACAATTGAAACAACTGCTACCTGTTCATTACGAATTTTCTTTTAAAGTTTTTTCAACAAGTTAATTCTAATACACACATTTATTAATATATTATTAAAATTAATAAACTCTCTTGCAAGGATGCTAACCTTTCTATCTCAAACCAGATTATTTCAAAATTTCAATACTATGAAAAAATACAACAAACCTTTTAGCAATTCACCAAAACTCATTACAATGAGTTGCTGAAAAACCAGGAGAAAACCACACTGTAAGTAGCAATTGATCAGGTACGTGGTGGGTGCATTATCTGGTTGAAGAGGCAAGTAGTTTCCCATGTTAAGTATTCCTGGTTAGTGTTTATGAGCCTTCTACAGGGACAGAGACCAATTAACAAGATCTTCCAGTTGGACTTAATCACTTTAAGAAAGAAATTAGGTTCCACCTTGGGTGTTAATGAATGTTTACCACGATGACCCAAGGATTTATGGAGAATCAGACCTTTCTTTCTGAATTGTCTAGGTAGGACTATCAGGAAGTTAATGTCCAGCTCTGTTCCTTGGTATGTGTAAAGCATGCATTCCTGAGAGAGTAAAAATATGTCTGGGACTCCAGGAATTTGAGTGCCAGCCCTGGTGTTCAGGTCATCACTCTCTCCTGAGAAGTATGGATAAACTCTTCTCTTGGTTGTGAGAAATAAAAGTTCAGTTATCTCGAAAGAGAGAGGAATTATTACATTTTATAGAAAAGAATATAGTGGAAAAGGAATATAATACATATAAGCTGGGTCAATGTATTTTTTCCCAACATATAAATAGCAATTTATCATCTTTAAACACTATTTTCCTGTCATGTCTGCTTAGCTACCTACAGTTAGTGATCAGTCTGTGCTTTCAGAAAAGGAATCAACCAAACTCTGTGGACGCATAGCTGGCCAGAAAGCAGAAACCTGTGGCTAGATGAGAGACATTTGTTTATGGATTGTAGTGGTGCTCAAATGTTAGTATATATCATCATACTCATTGGAGGGATGTTAAACATAGTTTGCTGGGCTCCAACCCCAGAGTTTCAGATGCAATAGGAGTGGGGACCTGTTATAGTGGGGTCCAAGAATTTGTATTGCTAATGTGTGTCTGGGTAATCCTAACACTGCTGATCTGAGCACCATACTTTGATGACAGTGATATATCCATTCAACAGTACTTACCAAAATTTTGAATTTCCCAGGCTTCTGTGTTAGGAGGCGGCGATATAATACTGAGAAGATGCATCCTCTGCCTTCACAGTGGTTACTATCTGGTGGGTTCAGTAGACATTAAATCAAATGATCACACAAATAAATATGTAATTACAAGCTCCCAAGAGGTTTTGAGTCACTAGTTTTATATTGCATTGATTTTTAAAGACTTGTGTTGTTGACTGAGCTTGGGAAAGAAACAAAATAAGAAAGACTATTGTCAGCTGCCTCCATTGTCTTGACAACATCAGAGGGACCCTTTAAGCAAGAGTAGAGGAAAAAAGTTATATATCAGAGTGCAAAGAAGGAAGTATTCCAGACTTTATGTTGATCTTGCCCTCCTTCTCTCTATTCATATTCAATTTCTATTTGGGTTACTATTTGACCAGGACAAAAGATAAGGAATGTCAATTCTGCCAGCATACAGAGACTAAGTCAGCTTTCCTCAGCCAACAGAGTAGTCAGTCCTGCAATTACACAATGATATGATAGAAAAGATGGCCATTTGAAAACCTTAAAAGGGCTCGTTGGCTTCAAAACAATAAACTGTTCCAAAAATGAAACTTACCATATTGTGTCAATTCATTTAACAGTGTAGACAGTGAATCAAAATTAATTCCTCCAAAGGTTTTTGTTTGATATTAGATTTGACCTTAGTCCTGCCATTAGTTATATGTGTACTTTCATCAAACCACTTAATCTTACTGATCTTTAGTTTTTCCCATGTGTAAGAAGATGTTGTTAGGCAGGATATTTGCTGAGATCTCTTCCAGCTTTATAGTGTGT